GAGCCGAGCGGCGGGGAAAGCGCCTCCATAAAGAGATCGTGTCGAGTGATTGGCTGTGACCTCTGCCCTCCCCAGCCTCGCGCCGGGGGCCCTGCTTAACCCTTTGGTGCACGCCCTGCGCTTGGAGAGGGACCAGTCTCCCTGCGCCAACTTCCAACGTCCCCAAGTGGCACCGGGGCCCGCAACCCCGCGGGGCGTCGGAGGGGGTGCTGCCCTCTTCCCGCCCCTTCGAATCGTCCCAGCAGGGGGCGTCGTTGCCTCACTTAAGAGCCTGCCCAGAACCCCCGGGGCCCCTAGCGGGTCTCCGAGTTCCGAGTGGTCCCGGGGGTCCAATTCAGGCTTCCCCGGAGCCGAGCTAGGGCGCGCCCTCCCTCCTCCGGCTCCCGCTCGCGAGCAGGGCCGGCCCGCGGTGACGGCCCCAGGTCCCGACACCAGGAGTTGGGGACACGTGGGGAACCCGCACGACATGACCCTGGGGTTCGGACGGCAAGACCTGAGCCCTGAGCATCTGCGCCCGGCGCCACACGCCCCTCTGGGCTGAGAGGTCATATCTAATACATTGACAAATCCTGATAACACTGCCTCTAAAACATGGTTCATTCTATCCAACCTCTTACCGCCTCTGCCAAGGCAGCCCTGATCCAAATCCGCATCATCTACCTGAATACAGCCACCTGCCTGGCCTCTTCATTCCCACCCTTGTCCCTCACATTCCAGTGGGCAGGCCTTTGCCACGCGGGAGCCACGGCCAGCTTCGGGGTTGTCCTGGGACGTGTCCTGAGTCTCACGCTCTGGTGGAGGCGGCGGCCACATATCGTTTGACTAAAGGACTCACCGTCCAGGGCTCCAGCCGAAGACCCGAAGGGCCCGCCGCCAGCGCCGCCACCATGCCCAACTTCTCTGGCAACTGGAAGATCGTCCGATCGGAAAACTTCGAGGATTTGCTCAAAGTGCTGGGTAAGGAGATTTGCAAGGGCCCCGGAGAGGGAGTATTCGGAGGTGGGTAAGAGTAAGAAAGGAAGGGGGATAGAATCAGGGCTTAGGAGGCTAAGCCCCTGCATCCCCAAGAAAAGGGGCCTTACACCTGGGTCCCGGGGTGCTGGGCCGGGCCACCTAAATCCTGCTTTCTCTGGCGGGGCGCCCACCGATGCCAGCTCCTGCAGTGACTCAGCCTGTGAATCAAGCAGAAACCAGAAGCACGAGGTCCGTATCCCTTCGGGTGGGGAAGAGGGGCTCTCTTCAGTTCAGGAGCTGCAAACCCTGCATCCAGGCAGGGAGCCTGGGGCCCTCCCCCCTACTCCCGAGACCTTTGGGGCTCCTTCCCTTGTCCCCGCTGGTAACCCAGCCCAGGCAAGTTCCTTCCCCATGTGCCGCTCTCCACCCGCCAGGTGATGGCCACCCCAGCGCCCCCTTCCTTCCCTTTCAGCACTTCCCACTCTGCTCCCTCTTCACCCCCATCTGTGAGACAAGTATTTTCCTACAACGAGTTCCAGAAACCTAAAATTGCTCTAGATAATTATCACTTTCTTCGATTTCAAGAAATGGCTTTGTGTGGAACTCCCCCCTCACCCCCTTTCTCCAATAGGAGTTCTCTTTTCCCTTCTCCCTGGATACCCACTACAGCCCAGCTGGGTGTGCTGGTTAAAGGCAGAGAAAACTGTACCCACCCAGATGGTCCTTCCCAACTCTTGTGTGCCCTCTGTCTGGGGAAGGGGTAAAAGCTAGGAAATGGCTGGAGTGGGTGGGGGGCTCTGGGAAGAGATGGAGATTGGTTAAGCAACTGGGGAGCCACCTGGGAGCCCCAGAGCCATCCATTTCAGGACTGAATAGAGAGAACCCAGTTGGGCTGGGTGGGGAGGGGCACCTTGTGTGGGGCCAGGGGCTGTAGGGGTGAATCTGAACCTAGGAAGGGTCTGGAATGCTATCCGAAAAGCGGGGATTTCCAGCATTCCTTGCTGCTGGTTCTCCTTGCAGTCTAACCACAGCACTTCTAGTCTCGTCAGTCTTTCTTGTGTTGCCCTCGCTGAAATGAAAGACCAAAAGGATAGGAAATTTCCCTTCAGAAAGCCTCGGTGTCATCCCCTCCCCCGCTCCGGATTTGGCTCCTCTCCCCAGTGGGTGAGGCACCCCCAGGACCCAGCTGGAGAATAAGACCCAAAGCCCAGCCCTGTTGTCTGTCTATCTTCGTCTGTTTGTCCTCCCTGCAGGGTCTCTCAGAGCCACGTGCCCTCCTCAGGCCCTGCTGGGAGACAGATTGCAAACAGACCCATTAACACAGCCCTGAGTCAGCCGAGGTTGGGAGTTTGGCCGAGGCTGGACCCGCTCCACAGGCTGCAGAGGCGGGCGGGCTGGAGGGGCGTCTCCTCGGAACCCAGCAGCCTTGCCTCCACCGGAACCTCAGTCGCTTCTCACGCTCCTTTGCCCTAGTCCAGGGTCCCTCTCCTGTGAGGGATGCTCAGGTGTTTGGAGGACACCTGTCCTGTGCAGAGTGATGGCCATGGATGGAGGAGGCTCTGCTCCTGTAACAGGAAAGACGGATGGTAGAGAGCAGATGGACTTCCCAGGCAGCAAAGGGTGAAGTAGTCTCAGTGCAAGAAGATGGAGTGGGACGTGCCTTCTCTGCCCAGTCAGCTCGACCTGGAACCTCGGTCATTTCTCCCCGGGCCTGAGATCAGCAGTCAGGAAGGGGGCTCCTGGGCTCCTGAGGGCCAGGGCTCTCTCCCTCCAACTCCCTCTTTCTGGCTCAGAGTGTGTGCTGTGGTGCCAGGGGGAAAGAGATTTGTTTCTCTCGGAACCCAGGTCTAGAGGAGGGACAGGGAGTTTGGGCCGGGTCAGGGGTAGGGGAATCCGGCTCACCTGGCCCAGCCCAGCTTGACCCCCTCATCCCCACCAATTGCTTCTCTGGGGGATTCTGCTCCAGTCAGGGCAGGAGGCCTGGCCGGGCAGTTTAGACCCGGGCCCTGGCCAGAGGCGCCTGCCTGCCTGCTTGTCTTCTGTCAGAGGGGTGCTCTCTCCTGGCTCCCCCACCCCTCTTAATAACTGGGGAGCAGAGAGCAGCAGTCCAATCTGGGGGAGGATATGCAGACAGGCACGGGGACTCTGAATGAGAAGCACTTACCAGGGTGAGTTGGGGACACATCAGGGGCGGGGAGCACAGTACCCCCCTCTGTCCCTCGGAGGGAAAAGGGCAGGCGTGGGAGCCTCAGGAGGGCAGGTGAGCAGGAGTCTGATGCAGAGAATGTCTGAGCCCCAGCTCTGGCTTTTTCTTTCCTTCCTTCTATCAGTAAAAGTACCTGCTACCGTAAGACTACTATTTCTTAAAAACTCAAAGGTGTGCCTGGCACTGAGTACTAGGCCCTAAACACACCTACCTCATCCCATTTGCTAGGCTTTGGGAGAAACTATTGTCTCCATTTTACAGTTGAGCAATCTAAGGCTCAGATAAGTTAAGCCATTTGCCTAGGCCCTAGGGCAGTGAAGGCGAACCTTTTGAGCTCTTGAGCTCGGCGTGTCAGCATTTTGAAAAACCCTAACTTAACTCTGGTGCCGTGTCACATATAGAAATTTTTTGATATTTGCAACCATAGTATAAAAAAGATTTATATTTTTGATATTTATTTTATATATTTAAATGCCATTTAACGAAGAAAAATCAACCAAAAAAAATGAGTTCGCGTGTCACCTCTGACACGCGTGTCATAGGTTCGCCATCACTGCCCTAGGGTCTCCCAGCCTACAAGGGCGGCTGAACCAGGTGGAAACTGAGGAAATGGATCTTACTCCAGAGCCTTTGGCTTCCCCAGCGGCTGGCCACCTCTTCCCTGGCTGAGAATCCCTGTCCCTTCTCATTTTGGGGAGGGACAGAGATTGGGCAAATGAAGGCCCAGCTGGCACCAGACAGGGGAGGTGGGTAGCACAGGGAGGGAAGTGGTCCCTGCCTCCAGGACAAAGTGGTGAGGCCTGGCCTGGGAGGGTCTGTCCTGCACATGGGCAGAGGTGAGGGCACAGTGGCTCTAATGAGCCCACCCAGCAGAGGGTCTCAAGTAGGGTAGACAAAGGGCCCAAAATGAGGTGGACAGACCCAAGGCAAGCCCATAGCAGGATGCCTGCTGGGTGAGGGGAATGGGAAAAAGTGCCCCTGAGCTGGGAAGGGGGGGCGGGGTGGCTAATCTAGGACTGCTGACTCACCCAGGTGGGGTGGCTGCTAGGAGCAAGATCCTTTAAGGGCAGGCACTGCCTCTCTGCCCTCCTCCCTAAACCCCACCATTCATTAGGGCTGCACCACCTGCCCTGTCCTTCATGAACTTCCTCGGAAACTAGCCAGACTGCTCCAGCTGTCTCTTGGGGAAGGTGTAACACAGGTGCCTGAAGCACCCCAAAAGGTGAGCCTCTCTCTTCTCTGCAGGGGTGAACGTGATGCTGAGGAAGATCGCCGTGGCTGCCGCCTCCAAGCCGGCAGTGGAGATCAAACAGGAGGGAGACACTTTCTACATCAAAACCTCTACCACCGTGCGCACCACGGAGATTAACTTCAAGATTGGAGAAGAGTTCGAGGAGCAGACGGTGGATGGGAGGCCCTGTAAGGTGAGTGCCAGGAAGGAGTCCCCTCTGGACCCTGGCTTCTACTGCCCTGCCTCTCAGCATGCCATTTTCTAGTCTTTTCCTGGGTCCCTTTCTCTTTTTCTAATGGAGGAAGTCCCTCGGTCGGTCGTGGTGGTGGGTAGAAAGGGGGTACAGCCCCTATCTCTCTTGCTACATTGTCCCTGATGGGGGCGCAGCTCACTTGGTCACCTCGCCCTTGCAGAGCCTGGTGAAATGGGAAAGTGAGAACAAAATGGTCTGCGAGCAGAGGCTTTTGAAGGGAGAGGGTCCCAAGACCTCCTGGACCAGAGAACTGACCAATGATGAGGAGCTGATCCTGGTGAGTCCTGCCTCCTCCCAGCTAAGCGCACGCCCACTGCTACCTCGGGGGATGTCCTGGGGTGCTCCAGGGTGCAAGAGGGTTCTCGGATAGTCATGGCTGGTTTCCCACATCCTGCTGGGGCTGCTGGGGTGTGAGTAAGCTGTCCCTGTCCACACAGTGCCCTCACGCCAAAGAGAAATGGCGCCCCCTCGGAGGGGAACAGAGGATATTCACTGAGAGGTCCCAGCAGTTCTCCAGGGGACCTCCCCCGCTTAGGGATGAGGATATGGGGTAGAAGACCCTGGGGCTCTGGTGCCATCTTCCCTCCCATGATGCCCAGGCCTTTGGGGACCAGCTTCTGACTGTTGGCCCTGAACCAAGAAGCAGGTTTGAGCCTAGAGACAGAGCGGAGTTCCTTTGTTCAACCCTCCTCCTCTTCCCAAGCCACAGGGCCAGGGGCCTCCCGGGCTAACAGTGACTTCTGTCCTCCTTCCAGACCATGACGGCGGATGACGTTGTGTGCACCAGGGTCTACGTCCGCGAGTGAGTGGCTGTGGGTCTGACGGATGCCCCAGCCCATCCCCAGCCCACGCTCCTGCTTCTCTGCCCTGTGGGCCGTCCCTCCCCACTTCCTTCTAGGGTAGCTCTCCCCTCACCCATGCCACTTCCCCAGGTGCTGGGGTGCCTCCTGCAGGGGCTCTGCTTTGTTTGCCCCTCCCCCGCTCCCCTATTCCAACAAAGAGGGATGGGTTGCAGGAGCCCAGATCACCCATTTTGGAATCACTCCCCTCACCCCCCAAATAGCCAGTCCCAGCCCCAAACCAGCCCAGAACCGTCTCTTTCTGTAAGGGGACCTGAGGGCCTGAGGGAAAGACAGCCCTCTGGCTTCTACTTTGTCCCTGTAGCCTATACAGTATAGAATATTTATTGGTTAATTTTATTAAAATGTTTTAAAAAATATATAACCTGTCTCTGGCTCATTGGAAAGGAGATGTGTGGGAGCTGAGGTTTCAGTAGCAGGCAAATGAGTTAGGATCCTTCCCTTCATTGTTCTCACCACCACCCCTTCATCTGCTGCTGAATCTGTGAGCATCACCCCCACTTCCTCTCCTCCAACCTCCTCGGTCCCCCTCTGACTTCCAAGGTCACCAGGGCCTTGTTCCCCTGACCCCTCGGAGGGCGCTTGACTTGAGGAGCTGGTTCCTATCTCCTCCCACCTTCTCCACAAAGGTGACAGCTTCCTCCTCCTCCTCCAATTGTTCCTTCTCTCTCCTCCAACCCCAGTCTGTGGGTGACCCCGGGGCCTGGCCTTGGCCTCCCACACATTCCAGGTGAGCTCATCGATGCCCCAGGCTGCCCAGGTCTCCCTGTCTGAGACAAGCAGGTCTCTCTGCCTTGAGATCTCTCACACACACCCCTTCTGCCCTGGCTCCTACATCTCCCAGGCCCCTGGGACCCTTCTCCCTGAACCTCCACACTCAAGTCTACACCACGTCTTCCCAGATTCCATCCTGATCTCAAATGCTTGCCCTCCTTCCCCGGGACCACTGCCCTAGGCCAGACCTCGACATCACCCACCAGGTTCCATACAGCAGTAGCTTCTAACTGGCTTTCCTGGCCCGATAAAGGGAAATGAGCAAAATGTTGGAATAAGAGAGCTTTGAGTCCTGGTTCTGCTGCTTGCTGTTTGTGTGACCTCAGACAGGTTCGCTTCCCGAGCCCGAGCTCTTCGCACAGCCTGAAGGGGCCTCTCCCTGCATCTGTGCTCCCGCCAGTGGGCACGCTTCACAGCCTGTGTCAGCAGTGCCAGGGCCTACGGCCTCTGCCCCCTGAGAGGCCACATACGCAGCTGAGGGCAGAGGGTCAGGGCCAGAGAGTTGGGGAGACAGTGTCTCCTCAGAGTCTCCTCAGAATGTGGGGTGGGGGAGGTGAGGGGTCCGTTCATGTATCCAACCAACTCTCATTTCCTGAGTGCCTCCTAGGAGCTAGTACCCTGCTAGGTGCTGGGAACACAGATAAGAAAAAAATGGACAAGATCTCTGCCCTCATGCGGCCTGTAAGAGGGAAATGGACCTTTAATGGGGAAAGATAGACAATTGAAAAATAAATGCACCAATAAATAATTGTATATTGTGCAGGTTCTATGAAGGAGAAAGGGAGAGCATGATAGACTGGGATGGGCGCAGACGGAGGAGGGCAGGTGTTTTGGAGGACAAAGCATGGGGGCGGGGGATCCTGGAGCACCTAGTGGGAGGGAGCAGAGGAAAAGGTGCTCTAGGCACAGGGCTCAGCAGGGTAAGGGCCTTGCGGACAGGTTGGGGCTGTCCAGGTCCTGCGAGGAGTACAGGGCGGCTGGGGTTGTCAGGGGCTGGATTGGCCTGAGGGACACCATATTTCTTATTTTATTCTAAATGCAATGAAACCACTGAAGGCTTTTAAAAGGGGGAGGCGGGTGGCATCCCATTTGTGGGTTTTTTGTTTGTTTTAGTTTTGCCTTCCCAAGCAAGGCCTCCAAAAATTAGATTGCCCCCCCCCAAAAAAAAGGGTATACATTTGTGTTTGTAAGAGGTCCCTCTGGCTGCCAGTGGAGTCGAAGAAAAGGAAGAGTGAAGGGACAGCCAGCAGGAGGCTAGTGAGGTGCTCAGCAGAGCGGAGTGGGGGGGGAGGGCAAGGTGGAGGGTGCAGCCTCAGTGATACATTAGACAGGAGGGGAGGGAGGGAGAGAGAGGGAGGTGTCACGGTGGCCCTGGGCTTCTGGCTTGGGCCACTAGGGGAGTGGTAGTGTTTTCAGAAATGGAAAAAATAAGTCAGGCGGGGCTTTCTGGATGCCAGTTTCTGTTTGTTGTGATCTCAAAGAGCCCTAACTCCAGGCCTGAGCCGCTGCTTCGTCTCTGCTGCATCACCTCCCCTCTTCTCACCCATCCTGGACTCCAGTTCTGTCTGACCTCCATCCAGGCTGCTGGCTCCCAGCCTATCCTTCCCACCTGAGCTCAACTCCCTCCCCATCCTGGAGAGACCCTAGTCTGGCCCCTTCCCAGATCCTGGCTGGAACTGTCTCCCGTTTGCTCCCAGCACCTGCTCATTTCTCTGCCTAGTTTGTCTCTTTCTGGAACAAAGATGTTGAGAAAGGCAGAGAGAAGAGGCCAATCTCTCTTCCTCAGGAGACCCCAGAGGGCAGGGGCTGGGTCTCCCCCATCAGACTGGGGGCTCCCCGAAGGCAGTGGCTCCCTGGTGGCAGGGCCTTTCCCCTTGGCTCTGCTTCTCCCGTACTTCCCTGCCCATCAGCCTGAGATGACAAGGAAGTCACTGTCCTGAACCTATAGATTGGATCAGGGAGGGGAGCCTCACCCATCTGATCCAGCCTGGCCCAACCCTTGAAAAAGTCCCTCCAGCCCTGGCCCAGGTGGCTCAGTTGATTTGAATGTCATCCCGTACAACAGAAGGGTTGAGGGTTTGATCCCCAGTCAGGGCCCATACAGGGAGATAACTGATGGATGTTTCTCACATTGATGTTTCTCTCCCTTCCTCTCTCTCTAAAATAATAATAATAACAATAACAATAACAGTAATATCCTCAGGTGAGGATTCAAAAGAGAAAGAAAGAAAAAGTCCCTCCAGCTTCCCTTCCCACCCCCAAGTCCCTCTTGAGCTCTTCTGCTACCCGGGTCTTCATTACTCAGCAGCACGTTTGGAAGAAAATGCACGGGAAGCCTCACCCCCTGCCTACATCCTGTGCGAGTTCCATGGACAATCTTCTCTAAGTCCAAGCTTCTCAGAACCCAGCTACTGGAGGGTGAAAGGGCTCAGGCAGCAGAGATGCCCAGGCCACTGAGGCCTAAGACAGGAAGGCAAAGACAAGGGAGGGGGCATGTGTGATTCTGCCCTGGGGTTGGGGCTGACAAACATGGCAGGGGCACCAGCAGGCACTGGGAGAGTCTGTGCCAAAATCTTAGGGAAACAGGTGCCACCGAAGCACACACACCCTGGAGGCAGGAGCATGGAGCTCAGACAGAGAGAGGCCTGGTCATCGCAAAACCAAGAGGCCAGGTGATCACTCGCAAGAAGTTATGTGAGGATGAAGGAGGGGCCACATGAAGATTGAAGGGATGTGGTCAGGAGCCCCCAGAAGCTGAAGAGGCAGGAAGGACCCTTCCCTGGAGTCCTTCCAGGGAGCACAGCCCCAGACACCCTGATTTCAGATTCTGGCACCCAGATGGGGAGAGCGCATGTTCCTGCTTTAAACCAGTCTTGTAGTCATCTGAGCAGCAGCCTCAGGAAATAGGCTCCTCCTTGCCCCTTCTTTTGGGGCTTTGACCGGGTTCTGGGAACAGCTGAGCCCTGTGCCCTGGCAGGGTAGAGCCCCTAGACCGCTCACTGCAGGGCTCAGAGGGAGATCCATCCCTGTGTCTGTGCCTGGGCCCTGTCTCCTGCTCCCCCGGGCTCCTGGGCAGTGACAGTGCAGTGGGCACACCAGGCAGGCTGCTTGGTGGGAAGCGCAGGCTGCTTGGCTCAGGAACTTCTCTTCTCCTGAGTCCCCAGCTGCAGGATGATGCAGGGCACTCCCCAACCCCGCCCTTACCTCCCAGGCCTTCCCCTAAGGAGTCCAGCCTGGGCCTGGGCTTCCTGGAGCGCCTGGGTTGACAGGAGCCCACAACTGGGTTGCCGTGCCCATATTCTAGATGTCAAGACTGAGGCTCAGAGAGGGGGAGCAGAGGTCCCTACCCCCAGCCCACCTCCCCCTCAACTCAGCCCAGCTCACAGGTGGCTCCCCCAGCTGCCTCCCGGTTGCCATGGTGTCGGAGGAGGAGGAGGGAGAGGAGGAGGAAGAGGAGATGGAGGGGCAGATTTCTGAGAAGCAATCCCAAAACACACACCAGCTGACCCCTCCTTCCTCACTCCCTCTCCAATGTCAAAGACACCCATTTGTGCAGCTGGGCTGGAAAGGAGGTCAAGAAGGCAGAGGGCCCAGAGAATGGGTTCTGGGACCCCAACCTCACCCAGCAGATTTCCTGGACCCGAACTCCATCGCCCTCCCACAGTTCCCAGACCAGGCAGGCTCTTCCCTGCCTCCCTGCCTTCCCGCATGCAGTTCCCTCCATCTGGAATGCCCTTCCTCAGCCTTCAGGTCCCAGCGGCTTTAACTCCACTGGAGAAGCTCCCCTGAGCCCCAGGGGCTCCCCCTGCATCCTGCACCCACCGCGGTCACAGCCCTTTTCTTGATGATGCTCTCACGGGGCGGTGAGGTCTTGGGGATGCTAGCTTTGCCTTTGTAGCCCAGCGCCTCGCACAGACAGGTGCTCAGTAAAGCAAGAAGGAAGGAGGGAGGGAGAGAGGGAGGGAGCAAAGAGGCACCTCTGGTTGGATTGGAGAGGATCTGGACTGAGCACCAGGCACAGGGCTGGGCACGAGCAAAGCCCACCCCCTTCCTGCCACCTCCACTTGAACCTGGGCTCCAGCACCTTCTGCCTCGCCCCATTTGGAGCCGGCTCAGGGTCCTCTCTACACCCACAGGCCTGTGTCTGTTGTCCCTTTGGAGGCAAGGTCATCACACCAGGAGGCAGGCGTGCACTTGGCTCCATAAGGAGCTCCCTGTGTTGGGGAGAATTGGGAGAACGGCCTCCATTCTCCGAAATCCAGGGCCAGGCAAGCTTGCAAGGGCCTGAGGGCTGACCTTGAGCAGGGGACTTCAAAGGGTTTCCACACTGAGTGCTTTCCGCAGACAAGGCCTTCGAAGGGTGATGCTCTATCCACTGAGCCAAACCGGTTTCGACCACACTGAGTACTTTCTGCAAACAATGCCTTACCTGATGGCCATGACATAAAACAGATGGAAGCTAAGCTGCTTGGGGCAGAAGTTGTGGGTGTTGAAGGCACTGGGAGCTGGGGGTTGGGGTTGGTCCTGGTGGTGGGATGGGGCAGCCAGGAGAGAGAGAGAGAGAGAGAGAGAGCCCTGGGTTG